AGTCGCTACCCTGCCGTTTGGTGCCGCCTTAGGAAAACACCAAGTGACCCAAGCAATTGGACCCCCCAACCAAGGGGTGTCGACCACCTACTTCGCTTTCTGTTTGCGGACGTAAAACAAAGAAAAACAAAAATCTGGGGATGTATTGGTTGATGGGCATAAATCAGTTTAAGCTCCATTTGCCAACGGCGGGAACTGAACCATCCACTGATGGCTCGGGGATATGGCCGAACCAGGCAAAGCAAAGCGTCGACGTCCAGGCATTTTCGATTGGGTTTGATTGGGAGCTGTGGCGCTTGGGGAAAAACAAAAAAGAACATGTGGGTGTTGTTCTTGCCCCAATACACCAACCCTCCTTTTCTTCAATTGCCACACCTTCAAGACACCCCCCCCCCCCCGCCCCCCCCCCTTTGGACACCACCCCACCCCCCGCACTATGCGCGGCCTCGCTGGCCTGCACCTTGTTCAGGCGCGGGGGGTCGTGTAGGAGCCTCCAATCGCAGCAGTGATTCCAGAGATCCACACGTCCGGCAGCCACACGAGCCAAAGCGGGGCAGAATTGGTGGGTGGTCATCGTGAAATGATAAACCCTTTCCACCCCACGAGTTCTACGCTTTGAATCCAATGTGTCGAAAGACGACACTTGCTTTTGGCTGTAAAGGCATGAGCAAAGCTTGCATACTGGGTCTTATGGCGTAGTGTCGGCACATTATTTGTAAACCTCCTCAGATAAAAGACGCCCAGTTTCCCCAACCGACTGCCAGCCAATACTGCTTCGAAGGCACCCACAAGGTATGGCCAAACGACCCTCTTAATCTTCTTAGGCCCTTCCAACACATTACAATTTGCTAAACAAAAACAACAAGGTTTGACAAGCTCGTAAAGGGTACGCGCCTAGGCTAGCCCCCCTGAACATCATGAATCAAGTCCCTCAGCCCCTTGTACTTCTCTATGTCCTATTGGCCAGGGGTCACAGGAAAGGCCCCGAGAGGACTAGCCAGGTCCGCATATAATCCAGAGCCCAAGAAAACCCCCAACATCCGGGTTTCCCACACCTTGTCGACCTTGAGGGTGGGGGGGGGTTCTTAGTTAAGTTCCTCCTTACTGAAGCTTTCAAAATCGGGTTGGCCAAATCCATACTCGAGTCCAAACACACAAAACAAATCTGCCATGCTTGGGATGCCAACATTTGGAGGAAGGAAACCAAATGGAATGGAACCGTTGGCCAGAGTTCAACCCTTCTGATCCTACGCCAAAAGGAGCAATCCTAAAATATGCGGAGAAATCAACGAGAGAGAATTGCTTGGGCGGTCGCGCTATGGGCCTTGTCCCTTTACCCTTTACCCTTTATATACTGAGCGTATATTTGGGTGTGCTTTTTGAGGCGAAGGGGTGGCTTTCCGCCCACACCAATGTCCTAAACCTAATCTTCTTTGGCCAAATTGAGGGAAGGGGCTGATTACTTGATGGCTGAGTGTCCCAGAAAGGGATGCCTCTCGTTTTATCACCCAAAGTGTGTGGTTTTCTCAATCCTCCTACGATTATTAAAAGAAAAACAGCGGCAGCCCGAAGCATCGCATGGACATGCAGGAACCACATATGGAAATATATGTAGCCCATATGGAAACATCGGGAACACCTCTTGCGACATTGGGAACACTGATGCAAACATGGGGGAAAACCCATGGAAACATCGGGAAACCCACTGAACATGCAGTTGCAACAACCGGCTTTTTTGAGGAGTCCCTTCGAGTCCAGCAGATAGCGCGGCCAGGCGACATGGCGTACTCGCCGCCCGTCTTGGCCTCTCGCATCTCTGCGACAAGCTTGGAGTCCAAGGTGTTGCCCAACATGTTCAGCATGTCCTGAGAGCTATGGGGTCTAAACCCACCTTACCCTCCCAGCAACTAACATGGAACCTGACAGGGATTCCCTTTAGGAAAATTGTCTTCCAGAACCCCCCCCCCACCACCCCTGTCAGGTTCCATGTTAATTGGTGGGAGGGTAATACAAACAACAAATACTAGTACACTAAAACCACTAATACTGCTGTCCTGAGAGCAGAGGCTACGTTCAGTACTTCAGAGCCAACTCGCAAGAGCCATGGGCGGGTCACGGCCATGGGAGGGTTTCTCATCACTCTAGAGAGTTTTGCAAATGTCCTGAAAGCTACATATCAATGGGTTTATCTCAGAATAAGATATGGAAGCCAATGAGTGGTGTCCTTTTGGTTGCCCTTCCGTACCAGAATAGTCTTTGTGGGTTTGTCTCAAAGTAGGAGAACCCCAAAACCAGGTGGTCTGCTGTTGGTTTCCCTCTAAAACCCCAAAAAGGGTACCGAGCACACCCCTCTCCTGAAAGAACGGCTTGTCTTGAGGGAACCCGCAATCTGGGCACCCTCAGCGAGAGTATGTGGTTTTAGTCGTTCCTGAAAACCCGGAACTTCTCCAGAAACGGCGTTTTGACCGCTGAACATTTCAACCGAACCTCGATTCCCCAGATCAACACTGTGCTGCACGAGGCTGCTGTCCTGCCCAAATGACCGACCATGGGTGGTTCAACCTTCTTGCTCTGAGGGAATTTGTGGGAATCCCAACTCAGACAGGCCCTTTTTGAGGGTCAAACAGGGGTTTGAAACGGGTTGAAACTAAAAACCAGCAAAAGCCACACCTCAGCTGCATCGGTTCCAGGGGGCTCGCGAGGTTTTCTAAGGTTGGCATCAGTTTGATGGTACTAACTTGGACCGGATATGCACTTTCTTGCCCAGTGGCTTCCAATGGCGACGGGCCATCTTTGGTGGTTGAGTTTGAAGAAAACTTGATTTTGGTGGCTGCCTTTTTGGTACGTGAAGAGAACGGTTTGCAAAACAGCTACCACAAAAGAAAAGGAGCCTTTGACTTTGTTGTAAGTTCCCGAAGACCAAACAAAAAAAGGTTGCAACTGGGTCAGTTGCACTGCCCGCAACCGAGCGGCTGCCACCGTGCGCATATCGTTGACCCAAATGCGGATCCTCAGTCGGGGACCCTGTACAGCCTCAACCGCTGAAACGATACAGGTAGATCCTTTGCTTTCTCAGAGGCACCAATATTCTAGCTTAAAGTTGCAGGGTCAAATGGGCGCAACCTGGTTTGTATATGATGTGTATTTATGTGTATGTGGCTTCTACTTACCCCCAAATCACTACCCCCAAGGCAAAACCAAGCATTTTGAGAGGAGATCAGGCATTATCAGGATTTGTGGGGAGATGGAGCGGAAACCTTTCACACATTTCGGTGTAATTTCGGTGTAATGACTTGGCTTCAAGGTATGACCCCATTCTGTTTTTTTTGAACGGCCCTCATAGTACGTACCTGGAACATCGCCATTTGTTGCGGTCAATACTCTAACACCACTCATAGCCTATATCAACGCCGCCTGCATGGCTTTGTCTCTCTTCGGGAACCCTCTTCTCGCTTTCTCTCATCAGGGAAACTAAAAGGGAACGCCGTAACACCGATCCATGCGACGTCACCCCCCCCTCTCGTACCCTTCCGAGGAAAAAACAAAAACGGCGGAGCCGCGACCGCCCAGGGCCCGGCCCTCCGCTCGCTCCGAACTCCGAACATCAGACATCCGAGGCGCTCCCCGGGCCAGCGCTGGCCATCGGCGGCCTCTGTGAGGCGCAGCTCCGTGCAGCCGAGGTGCGCCCAGAGCCTTCGGAGGCAAACGCGTCGAACGGGGGAGGTTGCGATTTCTATCAACTTCACTTAAAATGGGTTTGTTGCTGTTTTTTTTCAAGTTGGCTTAAATGTTGGTATTAAACTTGGGGCACTTGGGGCGGGGGGGGGGGGGTTGGGGTTTGCTTGTGGATTTGTGTTCTGTTTGTGTTGATTGTGGTTCTGGCTTGGTTTGGTTTGTGTTTGATGGTTGCCTCATTTGAAGGCAGGAAACCAAGTCGGCCCTTTTTCCTTGGGGGGAGCCAAGCAAAAGTCGCCGGCCTTTCTGTCAAGGAAACCAACGCAATTCGACCAACCCAGAATCGCGAGTCTTATTTTAACTTGGCTCTGCGGAATGCTCGGATCATGTCATAGCGGTTCAAATTTGTTGGATTGGGTTGCAATAGTTCCTGAATGCTGGGTTCCCTTTGGTTGCTACTCGAGCAAAAGGGCACCAACTCAAAGAAAGAACCACACCCAGAAACCATTGGTCAGAAGGTTTGCTCAGGGTGGGCCGACCTCACCCCCGCTTCAATCTCATGTGGTACCAAGGGCCGAGGCTTCACTTCCCTTTTTGTGTTTTTCAAACAAGGCTGGGAGCCTTGGCGCAGCTTTTGCCCGCTGCAAAAAATGATTATCGCGTTGCTGGCTGGAGGTGGAAAACAAGCAGTTTGGCTAGTTGAAACAGGTGAGTGGCATTGTCCAAAAAGGACAAACCACATGTCAAAACCTGTAAACATATTTAAGGCAGCGTTCAACTTCCCGCAACTTCTTCAGGCAGTGGAAAAAGCCTTCAAACATGCTGATTTTACTTTGCAAGTCTTCAAAATGCCAAGCACGCACCAGTCAGCCAGGACCCACCCACTACCACCGAGGCGCTGCCGCGTGCTCGCGTCATAGTTCTCCACACACCCCAGGCCGTCCACCCAGTACAGCTTGGCATCCTGGAAACTCGGAGCTTGCGGATCTTATCCCAGTTTCCAGTGACCGGTGGGTTTTGGTTCCGGAAAACCACTGCCGTTCAACGACTACAATGGTCAAAACGTGCCTTTGACACTGACACGAGACAGAAGTGCATGCCGAGGAAATTAGTAGCTGCTGTGTTCTCAGTTTCGCAGCGACGATCTCCTTGGAAAACCCGCTAAATAAACAGGTGCCACTCGAGGACTGAGTGGTGTTGCATCCATTTGCAAATCGTAGTCTTGGCCGGTCTCAAGAGCTGCTCCTCCAGATGGGGTGTTGTTCAAGGGGGAATTATAGGCAAGCTTCAACAACCATCAGGCTTCGCGGACCTGAACCGTCAAATATCTGGTCAATGTCTTTCAACTTGACCCCATGGGAACCGAAATTGGTCGCAAGCCGAGAACATAAATTTGTCATGTTGCACAGAAAGGAACGCACACCCGCCAATGTTCTTCCCAAGGGCTTGGTCCTCTTTTGAACGCCCAAAGGAGCAACTCTGCGGTGAATCCATGTTCCCAGGCTCCAAAGGCAATCCCCAGTGATACCCCATGGACACCGAAAGGCGACGCAATCAAAAGGCAAAAGCATGTTGGCTTTCCTCTTGGTTTCCCTTTGAAAACCGCGGTAAGGGGCTCCCCACGACAATCACACGGATAGAATTGCTCTTCCGGCCGGGGCACTTCCAGTTTCGGCACCTTCATCGCGATGTGGCCTGACGCATCGATGCCAGGAGGTCTCCCACAGCCCGCCCCCCTCCGCAAAGAAAAAGGGAAAAGGATTTGCGTCGAGGTCTGCGAACACGTGACCATACCTTGGGGAAAACACCAGCCCCTTGCTCCAGGGAACCCTCAAAAAACGGCATTTCTAATTCCTCTTGGCTTTCTCTTGGGCCCCTTTGCTCTTGGGCTCCCTTTTTATTGACTCCGAGGCTTCTACACGAATTGAAATAACTTCCTGAGTAAATGCTCAGTAGATGCAACCAGACTTTGCGTTTATATACTGCCAAGATGATCTTCCAAAGTCCACACACTGGGGAAGTGGGGGCTTCTACACTACCAAAAAAGAGCGTCAAAGCGTCCTGCTCGGCTCCAAGTGAGACAGAATCAAGACCTGGTATTGAGGGGTCTACCCAAAACCATGTGTATGTGTGTCTTTCTTCCCTTCTGGGGTTGTTTTAAAGGGAAACCAAACATTTCGGACTGCCCTTATCTTGAGACAAACCCAACAAAGACTTCAAACGGGGACTCGCGTGCCGATTCTTTGGGGGGGGGGGAACTGTCCAGAGTCCGGGCCTAGCAGTGGGAGGCTGTTCTTTGGCGCCGGCTGGGCGTGCACATCCGCGCTGCCGGTGCCCAGGACCAGCTTCCGGTACCTCGGAAGACTCCGGCAGAGGCCGGGCAAAAATCGGAAGGCGCGTGTTGAAATTGGGGTCCCCCGACCCCCAAACCGGCGTCGGTTTTCCTGGAACTTCACTTTAAAGCAGGGTGAGAAGGATATTGTCCAAAAAGGACACAGTGAGTCTCAGCGAAGTTCCGCACTTGCGGCACCATTTGGTCCCTTGGACCAACCCCAAAAAAGGGTATCATGAAAAAAAGACACCAAATTCTCTCTCCGCGGCTTACCCAAGACCACATGAAGAATCGACGGGTATCGGGACCTATAGCTGGAAGAGTCCCTTGCTAACCTTCGCACAACGAATCAACATCGGCAAAAATGTCACAGAACCAGTTTCAAATCAGGCTCAGCTGCCCCTGTGCGTCCAGCTTCCATTATAACAAGCTCGACAAAGGGACAACCCCCTCGTACCTGGTGTAGTGGTAACTAGCGGCCCCTAACTGCTGTCCGCTTGTATGCCGAGGTGCCACTCAGGCGCGCGTTCCGGCAGCAGCCAGTACTGGACACAGCTCCTGGGTTTCGGCTTAGATCCAAAAAGGAAATGGCTCCGCCGCAAGACTCTGCAAGATGCGATGTCTGTTTTGGAGGGCAGTCTTTAAGGGACGTGTTGGGAAACCAAAGGGAAACCCAAGCCCATGTTGGGGGCTCCATATCCCATTTTTTCATATTTTTTGAGACGAACCCATATTTAAGAAGAGCCGCTGGTCCGGAGCGCACATCTCCTTGGCTGGAGCAGCTTTTCAGCCGTCCATCAGAAATCAGTCCGCCCGAGCAAGTGAGGCACAAAACTGGTCAATCAAGTCTGCCCACGACACTAAAGCATGACAAAGGGCCTCTGCACCTATTGATGGCTGGGATCTTCTGGTTCTGATTGTGGCCCAAGTGATCATAAGCTACTTCCAATGTGGGGATGTCAAACCTAAGGACTCTCATTTGGTGGATTCCACACGTGCATTACGTGGATCAAGGGGTCCCAGTTTGGACACATGAGTGCGACTCCATCCGAAGATAAGCCAGCTGGCGCAGGGTTCGTTAAGCTTCGGATTCGTTCCAAAAAGTCCGGGGGAAGGTTCTCTTCAAACACAGCACCAATAAAATCCTACTTGCTGATATTCAGGGAATCAGCTTCCCTTGATACAAAAAGCTGCACTACCCAGAGTTCCACTATGGTTTCAAGAAAAAACAGACTCTTTTGGGAACAAAAAACTGGGGTCTACACAGTGCAACGCTCCAAAGCCCTGCAACTTTTGGGTGGCAAATCTCCCAGTCTGAAAGGGGAAATCGAGGGAAACCGATGCAAAAGTTCTTCCACAGTGAGAAGAGTCCTGGCCCAATAACCCAAGATGCACCAAAAATATTTGTATGTAGATGCTCTAACTTTAAATATAAAAAGTATCCGTGATGGGACCCCAGCAATGATCCAAGGATGCAACCTGCTCCCTCCAGCAACTCCCCAACCCATCCAAGCCACTCGGCACATGGTCGCCAAGCGCTTCATGGTGCCAACAAAAGTTAAGCCTTAACGTGGTCCCACAAATTGAGCAAGACAACTGGAACGTGTAACCTGCGCCTTGTTCATGACCCATCCTTCAGCTCACCCCTCGAGGCCACATATGTGTCTCGCCGGTTTTTGTGTCGCACGCTGAGATTGGGCAATCGCCAATGGTTGGAGTTCTGGGTATTTGCTGGGGCAATCGGCCCTTTGTTGAATTCATCAGCTGCGCGTGAGCCAAGACAATATGAGAGGGGGCGCACACCAAGCAACAGGCACGCTGGAAAATGTATACCAAACTGACCCAAATCGCACATTCCAAAAGGTGCTTAACACCACATAGGGAAAGCCCCACCTATAAATAAATATATATGTATATATATATATATATATCCACCAAACAACTGACAGGACACCTGGGGCCATGACTCTATGCGTGACCAGCTGAGCAGTTGCTTCTTGGCCGTCGAGCAGGAAAGGGGGGGAGGGAAATCCACTTCTGAGATACCGCTGGATTGTTTTCAGGAGGGGCAGGTTGCCATCACAGAAACGGCAGTGAATTTTAATGGTTGGAACACCCTCCATCATAGTTCCACCGATTTCTGATGTTCACCAAAGGGTCCCTAGTTGAGCCATTCCCTCGTCCCCACAAGCCCGCACTAGAGCGATGTTGTTCGTGTGAGTTACTTGCCGATCCGACTGCTCCTTCGCAGCAACAAACGCCCGGTCCAGACTGAAGCACGCAGCTAATGGAAGTCAAAAAGGCTTTGATGCCCAATGTGAAAGAGAGAGAGAAAGAGAAGGACATTGCGCCTCTTGTTTTGACCACATGTCCATTAACAACTTGAAAACACGCCTGAACCATTTCATGATTCTGGGATTGCCCCGAACGAAGGGCGTCAAGCGGGTGTGTCTTGTCTCGAGGGTAGCCTTTCTTGGCATCGAAATGGAATCAAAATGGAAACCGAAACACGTCTATTTCGGGGACTCCTGAACGGCTTCCTGGAAAATATCATCATCTCTAAAGGCAACTCCTGCCAGTTCCATGATTGTTGGAAAGAGGGTATAGGGGTCCTTATAGCCCAAATCTAGGCTACGCCACAAATCAGATTTTCAGACTCCATATTCCGTCTACCCTAAAATAGACCATAATTTCGGAGACCCCTGTATAAATTATTAAGCATGCCGCTCATGCTACGATCAGGTTCCCCCCAGTCGGTGGTCTTGATTGGTGTGTCTTGAACAAATCGTGGTTCAGGGGGAACAGAAAAAGGGTTCCCACCAAAAGAAAAAGCGTGCTTCGGCAAAAACGTGGGTTTTCACACCGACGCCCCCAAAGAGGGAAGCTCTTCGGAGCCCGGGAGCCCGGGCCCTCGATGAGACCTTCGCTGCGGCGCTCCTGAGCATCAGAGCGTCAGTCTCCAAGGGCAATGCCAAACACAACAAACCCAAAAAGACAAAAACACAAAGATAATACATACATGTGTATATATATATATATGGTACAGCGTTGCCAGCCCCCGCCCCCCTCAATGGTCAGGTCAGACAAACACCCCCCCCCCTGTGGTTGTGGTCCTGTGGTTGTGTGGTTTGGGTTAGAATTGGTTTAGGGTATATTTAGGGTGTATTTAGGGTTAGTTTAGGGTTGGTTTAGGGTTGGCTTATGTTGATTTAGGGTTGGTTTAGGGTTGGTTTAGGTTTAGAGGTGTACGGTTTAGGGTTTGGTTTAGGGTGTATTGTTTAGGGATTTGTTTAGGGTGTCTTTGCGGATAGTTTAGGGTTAATTTAGGGTTGGTTTAGGGCTAGTTTAGGGTTGGTTTATGGTTGGTTGCGGGTTGGCTTGTCCTGGGGGTCGTCGAGGACAACCTACGCGCATCTCACATGCGTTTCTTCTTGGTTTTCTTCTTGCGACAGCAACGACGGCAGCTCCGCACTCTCTCTTTCTGACGCTTGCCTGAACAACATGCACAAGCACACGCGACATACCCGGCAAAAAAAGCAAGCAAGCGAAAAAGAAAACACACAAGCAAGACTGAGGACTAACAAAGCGACGAGCTGACACACCCCACGCGCGCGCACACACACACACGCACACACACACACACAGAGGCACACGCCTCTCAAGCACGCGCGCTCGCGCGCTGGCCTTCTTGCTCCAGCTTTTTCAATAGGGTCTCGAGCTTCTGGGATTTCGAGGCAATGTGTCTCATCAGCCAATCACACTCTGGCGAGCGCTCTGCGTTCGTCACGTCGGCCTGGGACTTCAACGGCAAGCACGCCGTGTTAAGTCGCCACCAGCACCCCCCCCGCCTCCAAACTCGCAATCCGTGCAAAAACGCACGCCAGAGCATGACGGTGCAAACACAAGCCACACATTCCTGGCAACCACATGGCTAACTTGCAAACGCTGCCTGCAAACAGCTGCGGGGAACAGCAGAGGAGCCACCGAAACAGAAAACATACAAGCAAGACTGCGGACTAGCAAAGCGACGAGCTGACACACCCCACGCGCGCGCACACACACACACACACACACAGAGGCACACGCGCGCTCCAGCACGCGCGCTCGCGTACTGGCCTTCTTGCTCCAGCTTTTTCAATAGGGTCTCGAGCTTCTGGGTCTTCGAGGCAATGTGTCTCATCGAGTTCAGGGGGTGGATCCTAGGTGCCAGGATTCGGGGGCTCGGGTCTCGGGCGGAGGGTGGCGTCACTTGCGACCTCACTTGCAACCCAAAATCGGGTCACTTGCAACCCGTCAGGTCTGGGAGGTGGGGGGGTGGGAATGATAGCGCTGAGGGGAGGGGGGCGGGGGAATGGCGACGTTCGCTGTCAATGGCACGCTCCAGCACCGGTGGGGATGGGGGGTGCGGGGGGGATGGTGATGCTCAAGGGGTGCGCCCGCCCAGCACTGCATCCATGCCTACCACCTAATAAGCACACCCTCTCACATGCGCCAGCACTGCACACATGCCTGCTACCTAGTAAGCGCACCCGCTCATGCGCAACAGCTGGTGCCTGGGTGCGAAAGCGACCAAAAACACAGGTCACAAGCGACCCCCCGACCCCATATTGGGGGGGGGGGGGGGGGTAGCAACACGGAACACGGGACCATATATATATATATATATATACATATATATGTATGTATGATGTATATGCATGTTTCTAAATATATATATATATATACAAACCTACCACAAATCATCAAGAGCAGCAAAACCCAACCAAACCAACCGCAACCAACAAATGGGATAATCCTGCAACAGGCGTTGTGGTGTACTAGTCTCCATCTGACATAATATCAACGAAAGGGGCTGCAAGGTGTTACATGTGGTTTTGGTGCGTCAATTAAACCCAGGATTGCCAACCGCCAGGGAGCGTCACATCTTAGAGGGGATCCTTTATGGAGCCCACAGAACAGGTGGTCTCCATTAAATAGAAACCAGAAACTTGGTTGCCTTGAATCCACCCCCAAATTGGACACCCTCACAAAATTACACCAGCATAGACCCCAGATAGCAATGATTGCACTGCACCCTGCCGTCAATCTCGCAAAAATGCGCCTGCACCGTCACCCTAAGAGCACCCCCCCCCCAAACACCCAGCCGCACCCCAAACAGCACCCTACCGTCAAGATGCAAAAATGTGCCTACACCGTCACCTCCATGCCCGATAGCACCCGGGCACAGCACCAGCACCAGCACCCCAAACTGCATGCCCCCGTGCACCCTACCGCCAAGATGCAAAAACACCGTCACCCCCAAAACAGCACCTGCACCAGCACCCCCAAACTGCATGCCCCCGTGCACCCTACCGTCAATCTTGAAAAGATGCGCCCGCACTGCCATCAGCACCTCAAACAGCACCCCAATCCGCAAAAACCAGAACCCCAAACTGCACGCCCCTCAGCACCAGCCCATCAATCTCGCAAATCACTTCCCCCTCTTTATTAGAAGTTAGAACCCCTATAGCTTTCAGCTATCTGGGGAAAGATGCGCCCAACAGGATGCTGTTGCTCACAGGTGGAAACCTTCTGTGAGCGGGGAATGAACTCATCTTGGGGGAAGGTCCTCGGATTGGTAGCTAAATGCACGGAATGGGCTGAGCAACCAGGAGCTAGCGTGTGAGGCCTCAAACCAGCCACCCGTTTTGCAAGTGCCTGCTCCTTAGTCCTCAAACACAGTCCGCGGTCAGGATTGTCAGGCTTCAAAAAGGAAAGCTTAAAGTTGCAACGCTCAGGGAGTGGTTTCGCGGCCGGTGCGCCTGTCGCACTCTGTGGCAAACAGGACAGTACTTTCGATCGAGCCAAGGCTTTTTAGGTGCTGACTTTCCCTTCCAAAGAGGCCCAAACATGGGTGTACTCTCAAAAAACACATACACACACATATATGGAACCCGCCCCGAAAATTGTGTGTTGCCTTTGGGCCTCCTAAACTATTCGCCTCCTGGGTAGTTTGGTCACGGCCAAAAAAGACAGCCACGAAGTGAGACCAACTCCGGAAAGGGAGGGCCGCGCCACCCGAAATTCGTATTGCCCATAGCACCCAGGGTCCCAGCTGTGCATTATACATCCCAAGGTAGACAATTTCATTCAGGAAGTTCACTTTGGGTGGCGGTCTGTGTGGAAATCAACCCCCGCCGGCCTGGATCCATTGCAGAAACTTCCTGAGCCGGCGCTGGCTGCGTCGACTACCAACTCGACTCGCGACTCTCTCCCCCTAAAACAAAAAACAAACAAAAAACGGCATTGTTGGCAAAAGAGTTGCTAGGCGACGAAGTGTGTGGGTGGGTGTGCTTACCATGTGCCAGGCATGTGGTCAGGCCTGCGACGGAGTGCGTGGGTGGATCTGTGTCTAAAAAACGCACGTCTTGGTGGCCGGCAAACTCTGCTTGCAAAAAAAGAGCCAAACTTCCGCTTTGGCTTCGCCGCGCTCCCTGCGTCTTGTTCACCATCTGTGACACCAACTCCCCCATCTGTGGGCATGGGCACGCTTCTACGAGCCCGT